ACACCAGAGTGCTCGAAAATTCTAAGCAGACTATAAAAAAATACATTTGATGCGCACTCCCAGTGCAGCTGTTCAAACAGTGGAATGTAGATTTTCAAGCATAAACTAGCTCGGCATTCTATAGCCACGTGCCATTTCAGGCATGTTGGTCTGTTCGGAGTCCAACAAACAATGGAATGAAATGTCTGAGTGAATGCAATGATAACTGAACCAAGCCTCTCCCATATTTCAGCTTTAGCCAAGAACATTTCACCGATGTTCTCGCTCTCATTCATAACTTAACCTTAAAAACTTTCTCATGAAGAAAATGGTTACGTCGGTTTCAGTCTTTCAACATCATCCTCAAACATGCGCTGACGATTACCAGTAGAGTAGATCGCTCTAATGTGAGCGGTGGACAGGTCCGCAGCTGTAGAAGAGGGTCATTCTCGTCGCTTGATAGTGCGCAGGAGTAAAGCTGAAAGTGTGGGATAGCTGGATGGCCTACTTGAAATGCACAGTGCGCGGCATGCGCATCAATGCTGAGAACCCGCAGCGGAAAACGTGACCGGCAAGCTGCCTGTCGCGGCTACCCACAGAGGACAAGGGTGAAGACAATTGGTACATTCGCCCCCGGTTAGGTGTGTATTTAGTGATGCGACATATTGCGTGTCTGCGTGCTTTGTCGCAGAGTGGAAAAAAGGCATCTAGCTCACGTTACCCTCATTCTAGCGCTCTTTAGGGTGAGGGAAGTAGTACATTTGCATAACTGCTACCTCGCACATGGAGCGCAGCATTATAGCGGGCACTCTTAGTGTTCGTTTAATGTTCCAAGATGCCTAACATTGGTGGTTGTCCGCAGCTTGAGACGAACAACTTCTGCAGCTTGTGAATTGGCAAGGAAAGCATACCCGCTCTCAATCCAAGACAGCGGCCCACTGCCTAGCGCAGCACCCTACTTTTACTTCTGTATACTAACTATGGCGCGCTTTTTGTTTACTAGCTCTCTCTCCATTGGCTGCTTGATTGTGATGTTAAAAGAAAGGGCCAATAACGACTAGTTGAGAACTAATCCAAGTACGCCCCCTCTTCATCTGATACCGCACAAAGCTCGGTCTTGGCATGGATTTCTATAAGCCACTTCAAATGATTTGCTTCTTTTTTCTTCGCTATTTGCTGCTCATCTATTGTCCTCAGTGTTGAGCGCAAAGCTCATCATTTTGAGGCATGACTTGAAAGAAAAGCCCCTCCTAGTGACAGGAAGAACTTCAGTGGACTTCATCCTATGCAGAAATAGGAGGTGCGACCTTAGAACTAGGTCACCTGCCATTTATGCTGCAACTAACTTCTTAAAAAAGTAGGTGTAGACCTTGTCCCACATAGTCCTGCAAGTATGAGCGTTCTTTTAGTTGCAGCAAGCTCTTCAACAGTGCGCGCGTTGAAAGCATTTGCACAATAAATCCCCAAGAACAACAGGATCAATACTCCTGGTAGGAGAATTCCGCAACCTTGAGCAGGCACTGCATAGCGGTATCCTCGAGTGGTGCCTTTATGAGGGCCCTATCAAGCTACAACACTCCGCACCATACGCCCGCCACGCCCTCCGCCCACAAGTGGACGACCTTCTTGACGCTAGTATTTGCCTTCATTCACTCGCTGAGCAAATTATGAAGCGAAGGGACTGGTATTGAAGCGGCGTAATGGGATTCATATATGGGTACACATATGCAGCCGTATTTTCGGTAGCGGTGATTCAAGATGCCTACGGGAAACTCGTCCGAAATAGATTCTCAATTCACTGAGAACGACGACGCTTTTCTTTGACTGTTTCACTCCGTTCTTTCGCCATTTCCCCCACATATAGCGCCCTACTAGCATTTTAAGCCAAGTAGGAAGTCATGCGTGCCCAACAGCCGCAAACAACTCTGAATCTCGTCTCCCTGAGCTATGAGATCCACGAATATACACACTGCATTGTGATGTTATATACAAGTGCGATGCAACAGACTTTATTGCAGTTGATGCGGAGTGGAGTTATTGCAAAAGTATCACAGAAGCCACAAGACTTCGCGGACACACTTTCTTCTTGGTAGCCTCCGATAGTGGACCTTTGCAGAAACCACTTGGTACAAGAGACATGCAGCTGGAAAACTTCTGAATAGTTCTTGACGGGGTAATATGAAAAGAGGATCTTACGACGGTTGTCCTCGCATTTAGAGCCAGTTCCTGTATTTATGAATGGAACAACAGGTCGTTTGTCGTTGTCGTAGTTGTGGTGGTAGTAGAGGTAGCAGTCGTAGTCTTGTGAATTTGCAGGAACTAGATGCTTCAGGTTGATCATAGTGATTTCAGGACGAGAAATAATAAAGCAGTACCGTATCGGTATTCAAGCACTGTCGTCGTTTTGACAATCCTGTTATATGTCATTATTGGACACGGTTTATGTAAAGAACGAAGAATTGTTCCAGCCGCGTCAGGTGAGCAGAATCTTCAATTCACTTCTTCTTTAAGCGTTTTTGAATGGTTTTTGTTGCGGTCAATTTGACCAGTTTTCTGAGAGAAACTGGTTCAAATGTCAATTGTCATTTCGATCGCAATGATCTCCTCGTTCGAATATACCTTTGCGCACTTCTAATTTATTCAAACAGATATACCTGTAACCAGTGAGCGTTTTGGTCCTTGTTTGTTTTGATCTCTACACCTGCATAAGGCATCCGTCAATAGATAGACCTTTCGTGAAGTTCACTAATTTTACTTCGATTTCAGTTCCTTTGGGAGACTGCAATACAAGGCAGTTATAATTAGTCGTCCGTCACTACTCGACACTTCAAGAGACGTCATTAAGGCTGCTTCCTCTACTGAGTTCCCATTATAAAATTTACGTGAACATGGTCGATTAAAATATTGACCGGCTACTGCAAGAATGCTGACTATTGGCAAAAGTCGAACCAGCACACGCTTTCCGGGACAGTGTGCTAACTCTTACGCCATCGCGGGCCGCATTTACCCTCTCTGCTCAACGGCTTTCATGCCGTATCCTTTCAGCACTGACACGTTTAACATGGTGAGCCAGTCAGCCGTTAGCACCAGTTATGAATTGGCCTGTTATTTTTTTGAGATTTAAGACTTACCTTAATCCGTGTAGTGACATATCTCGAAATCTTCCTGCTCACCACGGCCAAGGCCAATAGTATCTCGAATCTCGTCCAGTTAGGCGAAGCATAAATTTTATGGCTGCACTTTGTTACTGGCTAAAGCAATCACTTTCCGCACAAACTTCTAGAATGACGGTTATATCTGATACGTCTGCTCACTTTCTTGTTGCATCGAGGTCCACCATAGCCACCAGGACATATGCATCTTTGGCAGTCTCGTGGATGAGGGAATCCGCCCATCTCGCATTTAACGATGAAGATTTGTTACAGATCGCTGAATTTTGTAACAAAAAGTATGATGAAAAAATGTTCATGTTAGCAGCAACTGCTTTCTTCTGTTGATCCTTATCAGTGTTCGTATTGATGAAGCAGAGGGAAAGTCGGGCCGGCACCAATTACTATACATATATTTGTTGATGAAACCCGCATTTGAGTTCCCATGATATTAGGTCTCCCCACCACCGGGCAGCACTAAAAGTTGGTACTGAAGTGGGACTGTGGGGTAACAAACAGTGAAATGATCACTAGCTAGGACGCCACGACATTACGCCACGACGGCTACAGAGGCTATAATTAAGTGCATGCCTGGTTCTAGGAATTCGGCTTACTTCCGAGTGGCAAAAATGGCTCTTCTCTGCAGCTGCGCACACAGTTTAGCTGTGCTTTGGCAAGGATCAGTATTTTCAAAGTGAGTACAGCATATCTCAGAGAGATATTTTAATGATGCACCATCAAACCTTTGCATCCGTAGTGTTCATTGAGCATTGAGAGTTCGATGAAAGAAATGAATGGAGATCAAGGGTCTGCTGATAATCGATGTCAAACGGAACCATTGTTGGCTTTTTGTTGAACGATGCACTAAATAGCAGTAGGGTCAACAACTAGCTATTGTCCAACATTGTATATCACTTAGTGAATGTCGCGAATTGTGTTTACAGCGATTAGGTCAGTGCAGTGTCATGATCATGGAATGGAAAATTGGTTAGATTCTTTGTTCAAAAACGTACCTAGTTCCGCCCGTAGTGCATAATGCTGCCGTAGTCGTACGTCATGTTAATTAAGTTTGTTTTCGTTTGTTTCTTGATTGAACTGACTTAGCCAGTCTACCTGAAAGTATGACCTCTGTCTCTTTGACTATTCTGTATAGTTTATTGCTTCGCTAAATAGAGGACCGACAAATAATACATATTTTTGGAATGCGCACAAATCTTCCTGCACTTTGAAGAACTAATCGTTTAACTTGCAGTTTGCCTGCGTTTGTAGTCTGATAGCTGAACTGCTCTGCAAACATCCTTTTGCTACGATGAACCATGTTTTCAAAGACGTCACACAAAGTTGCCGAAAAAGTGACACTTACAGTGCTGTCGAAATCAGCTTAACGATCCCATTGCACTACAATACGTTGTTTTTATAGAACCTCAACTGCCTCCCTTCGGGAATGACGATTTTGTCCATGCTGCTCAAGAAGATATAAGCTCGAACTTTCGAAAATTCTGTCAAAGGCTTTTGCGACACTGTGGAGCGAGTAATGACAGTACAGTCCGTACATTCGCTCGCTTACTTCGTGACAATGTTGTCTTGCGAATTGATGCATTTGAACGTTGAGAGCGTGAGGAACCAGTAAATGTTTTGCACAGGCCTCAAAAATTACAGACAACTTGTGCGTCTTGCAGGTGGGCCAAGGTATAATGTGATCACTCCATATTAGTGGGCTAGCGGAGAGAGGTGTTTCGTTCCGTAATACGGAAATTGGAACGACTGTTGAACTTCAGTTGCAATTCTTTGAACGGCACTGTCAATTAGTTGAATTTCAGTTGCAATTCTTGAACGGCACTGTCAGTCAGTTTACCTTGATATTGTGCTTGTTTACAGTGATGAAGTCGTCGCGATCGTGTCGGGACATTGTATGGAAAAATCCAAGAGCTGACCAATCTCTGCGCAGCGATTAGATACTGTTTCGCAGCCACTTCCTAGTGACAGTTTCTGCTCACCACGAGTTTTCCAACGTATGACCAACATCCGTCCTCGGGAATACCATAATTCGATCTTTTGGCTAAAACAGTAGCTTTTTATGGGAGATTGTGACTCGTCAAAAGGCAGCGTATCCTGATCTACAACATGAGAAATCACATCTCGATTAATTTTAGTGTTTTTCTCACCGAATGGCGTTCCGCGTGAAATTGATGCAAGTATCCTGTTCCCATAGCTTCGCTCCCTTCTCGAATGAACTTCTCATCTCTCTACCTTCAATGGTTGTATTATATCTATTTTGCGCTCTATCCACGAAGTACTTATTTTTACACATACTAGCGAGCTTATGAAGTAGTAATTCACTCCTTCTGACCATAACATATTTGGATATCTATGGTCCTTGAATGCTTGGCGTTTTGATTTTCGACTTTTCACCAGCAACCTCATCTTCTATATCTTGCACGATCTCCTCGGCTTGCTCCCTTCAACGGCGGCGGAAAAGAAATCAACGAATTACGAATACGTATTAATTGAGTGACATACTCTGTTAGCACCATGTCGCTCTGGTAGAGATCTTTGCCAACCTGGCTGTATTCGTTGACGTCAGTGATTGAGTCTCCTTTCTCTGCGACTTTATCCTGCCTGATGGGTCGAAGTCTCTGTAAAATTCGATACGTTCAAGCTGGCGTTAACATATACAGGAACAGTAGATGGTTATCTCGCCTAAATACACCACATCCAAGTGGAGGTATGGGAGAAACATTCTGAGTCTCATGACATTTCGTAGAAGCGAAGTGAACTATCAGCGTTACCTTCAACCTTTTCTTGGAGCGATTTCATCATTTGAGTGTTAACTCTAATGTCTTCAACACTTTGTCCTTCATACTTCTAATCTTGTCGCGAATTTTTGAACAGAGCCGTATTTTCAAGAGCTGTAATTGTATCTAGAGACTAAGTCACACATTTCTCGAAATCGGAAACGGAAAAAGAGAATTCCGAGGTGGAATAGGTACAGAGCATTAACAACAGAAGAGAAAATGGGAACCTTCTTGAATCCAACAATAGTGGCATTCTTCAGTTTCTGTCCAAAACTACCATCGCCGAGAGAACACTCCTTTTACTTTGTCTATAATGCCTCCATCGACAGCGACAATCAAGAATAAGGTGACGCAATATCAGCCTCATTCTGAATTTTGAATCTATTCTTCCAGTGTTAGCTACAACTCATTGCAATACTGCCATTGCGAAAGCTTGAGAATCGACTGCATTTAGATGATGAGAAACCCTTGGCGGATCATTGGTCGATCTACAACATCTTTGCTTTTCTATGACTGTTTTTGCCGACCCTATACCTCAGTGCAAAGTAGTGCAACTAAAAATAAAAATGCGGCTCCATACTTACATAAAGCAGTTTCTATACAAACATGAAAGGCACCGTTATGGCATCGAACTATGCATATAACCTAAGGTATGGAGCGCAATTCCTAAAACATCCTGTTGAAACGCTGGAACACCTACAGAGAACCTCATAGAAAGAAAAAGGAATTCAACTATATATGGTTGTTGGTGACGGACATACTGCTCTGCGGCCAGTTTATATCTGTCCCTCAGTCTATGCTTCAGAATAGACGGCTGAAGAAATATGGAGGTACTTTCATCTGGCGGAACTAAGTAAAAGAATCCCTGTACAAAATATCCTTGCATCTGTGTTCGTCTCCTGTTTGAACAATAATTCATGAAAAAACACGGCGTGGCGGGTGTTTTGCATAACAAGAAGGATACGCGAGCGAGAACTTGTGATGTCAAAGGTCGAGAAACTTACAAGCAATGCTGCTGTACAATGTGATTGCGACTCACGTACGGAAATCAGATTACTATTTTGCTTATCCTGTGAGCAACATTGTACCACAGCATTGCTTGTAGTTTCTCACCTTTGACATCACAGTTCTCGCTCGCGTATCTCTTCTTGCTATGCATAACACCCCCACGCCGTGTTTTTTCATGAATTATTGTTCAAACAGGAAGACGACACACATGCAAGGATATTTTTGTACAGGGATTCTTTACTTAGTTTCCGCCAGATGAAAGTACCTCCATATTTCTTCAGCCGTCCTATTCTGAAGCATAGACTGAGGGACGGATTATAAACTGGCCGCAGAGGCAGTATGTCCGTCACCAAACAACCATATAATAGTTGAATTCCTTTTTCTTCTATGAGGTTCTCTGTAGCGTGTTCAGCGTTCAACAGGATGTTTTAGGGATTGCTCCATGCATTACGTTATGCAGTTAGTTCCATGCCATAACGGTGCTTTCATGTTTGTATAGAAACTGCTTTAGTAAAGACTATGGAGCCGCATTTTATTTTTAGTTGCACTACTTTTGACTGAGGTGTAGGGTCGGCAAAAACAGTCATAGAAAAAAGAAGGTTGTAGATCGACCAAATGATCGCCAAGGGTTTCTCATCATCTAAATGCAGTCGATTCTCAAGCTTCGCAATGGCAGTATTGCAATGAGTTGTAGCTAACACTGGAAGAATAGATTCAAAATTTCAGAATGAGGCTGATATTGCTCACCTTATTCTTGATTGTCGCTGTCGATGGAGGCATTATAGACAAAGAAAAAGGAGTGTTTCTCTGCGATGGTAGTTTTGGACAGAAACTGAAGAATGCCACTATTGTTGGGATTCAAGAGGTTCCCATTTCTCTTCTGTTGTTAATGCTCTGTTACCCTATTCCACCTCGCGGAATTTCTCTTTTCCGTTTCCGATTTCGAGAAATGTGTGACTTAGTCTCTAGATAACAATTACAGCTCTTCGAAAAATACGGCTCTGTTCAAAATTCGGACAAGATTAGAAGTAGAAGGACAAAGTGTTGAAGACATTAGAGTTAACACCTCAAATGATGAAATCGCTCCAAGAAAAGTTGAAGGTAACGCTGATAGTTCACTTCTCTTCTACGAAATGTCATGAGACTCAGAATGTTTCTCCATACCTCCCACTTGGATGTGGTGTATTTAGGCGAGAAACCATCTATGTTCTGTATATGTTAACGCCAGCTTGAACGTATCGAATTTTAACAGAGACTTCGGACCCATCAGGCAGGATAAAGTCGCAGAGAAGGAGACTCAATCACTGATCAACGCAATACAGCCAGGTTGGCAAGATCCTCTACCAGAGCGACATGGTGCTAACAGAGTATGTCACTCAATTAAAACGTATTTCGTATTCGTTGATTTCCTTTTCCGCCGCCCGTTGAGGGAGCAAGCCGAGGAGATCGTGCAAGATAATAGAAGATGGACGTTGCTGTGAAACGTCGACAACTCAACAGCCAAGCATTCAAGCGACCATAGATACTCCAAATAATTATGGTCAGAAGGATGTGATTATACTTCCATAAGCTCGCTCAGTATGTGTAAAAATTAGTAGCTCCGTAGATAGAGCGCAAATAGATATAATACAACCATTGCAAGTAGAGAGATGAGAAGTTCATCGAGAAGGAGCGAAGCTAAATGGGAAGCAGGTATTGCATCAATTTCACGCCGGAACCATTCGGTGAGAAAACACTAAAATTAATCGAGACTGTATTTTCATAGTTGTAGATCAGGATTACGCTGCCCTTTTGACGAAGTTCACAATCTTCCATAAAAGCTACTGTTTTAGCCAAAGATCGAATTATGGGGTATTCCGGGAGGACGGGATGGTGGTCATACTTGGAAAACTCCGGTGCGTGAGCAGAAACTGTCACTGGAAAGTGGCTGCGAAACAGTATCTGATTCGTATGCGCAATGAGATTGGGCGCTCACGCTCTTGATTTTTCATACAAATGTCCCGACACGATACGCGACGACTTCAATCAACTGTTAAACCAAGCACAATATCAGTTAACTGACTGACACGTGCCCGTTCAAGAATTGCAACTGAATTCAACTAATTGACAGTGCGTTCAAGAATTGACAACTGAAGTTCACATCGTCTCCAAATTTCCGTATTACGCGAACGAACACTCTCCTCGCTAAGCCACTAATATGGAGTGATCAATTATACCTTGCCACCTGCAAGACGCACCAAGTTGTCCTGTTTATTTGAGGCGCGCCAGGGTGCTGTGCAAAACATTTTAAAACTGGGTTTTCGCTCACCTCTCAAAACGTTTCAAATGCTATCAATTCGCCAAGACAACATTGTCCACGAAGTAAAGCGAGCGAACTTACGCGACTGCTTACTGTCATTACGTCGCTCCCACAGTGTCGCCAAAGCCTTGACAGAATTTTCGGAAAGGTTCGAGCGTATATCTTTCTTGAGGCAGCATGCACAAAATCGTCATTCCCGAAGGGAGGCAGTTTGAGGTTCTATAAAACAACGTAATTGTATGCAATGGATCTTAAGCTGATTCCGACAGCACATGTAAGTGTCACTTTTTCGGCAACTTTTGTGTACCTCTTTTGAAAAACATGGTTCATCGTAGCAAAAGGATGTTTGCAGGACGATTTCAGCTATCAGACTACAACGCAGGCAAACTGCAAGTTAAACGATTAAGTCTTCAAAAGTGCAGGAAAGATTTGTGCGCATTATCAAAAATATGTATTATTTGTCGAGTCCTCTAATTTAGCGAAGTAAATAAACTATACGAAATAGTCAAAGAGGACAGCAGGTCATACTTTTCAGTAGGATCTGGCTAAAGTCAGTTCAAATAAAGATACAACGAAAAAAAACGCATAATTAAACATGACGCTACGACTACGGCAATCATTATGCACTACGGCGGACTAGTACGTTTTTGAAACAAAGTCTAACCAATTTTCCACTCATGACATGGACACTTGCGCTGACCTAAGCGCCTGTAACACAATTTGCACATTCACTAAGTGAATATACAATGTTGGACATAGCTAGTTGGTGGGATCCCTATGCTATTTAGTGCATCGTTTCAACAAAAAGCCAACAATGGTTCCGTGTGACTCGATTATCAGCAGACCCTTGGATCTCCATTCATTTCTTTCATCGAAAAAAAAAAAAAAAAATAAAAAAAAAAAAAAAAAAAAAAAAAAACTCTCAATGCTCAATGAACACTACGGATGCAAAAGGTTTGATGGTCATCATGTAAAATATCTCTCTGAAGATATGCGTTACTCACTTTGGAAAAGACTGATCCTTGCAAAAGCCAGCTAAACTGTGTGCGCAGCTGCAGAGAAGAGCCCATTTTTGCACTCGGAAGTAAAGACGAATTCCTTGGAGACCAGCGCATGCCACCTAGATTATAGCCTCTGTAGCCGTCGTGGCGTAATGTCGTGGCGTCCCTAGCTTAGGGATCATCTTCACTGTTTGTTACCCTCACAGCCACTTCAGTACCAACTTTTAGTCTCCGGTGGTGGCGAGACTCT